ACTCTGCTACTTCAGCAAAAGAGCGGGCATCCTGCGCACGCTCTGCCGCAGAGGCGGTCCATGGATCTCGGCTTCAACGTCAATCGCTCCGATGCCCGTTGACATCGTCGACCTTCCGGACCACGAAGAGACCACCCAGTGTTTAGTACTCAAGACTATGGCCTTTTTGAATTCAGCCGACTTTCCTACTATGGCGAGAGTCGGACGCGAATGACCCTCATCTACCCTGACCTTTTTCCCTAAGGCGATCGGGAGCCAGTAGCCTTCGGCTTCCTTCTTTTGAAAACACATCAGGACTCGCTTAGAGCCCAAATCTCTTCGCCGTCCGATAGCCTCGCTTCCGATGCCATCGTCCCAAACGACGGTTCCGGTTGGCTCGCCCACAAGCCAAACCAACCTTTTAAACTCAGCAGGCCACTGGGAAGAGTGCATCCCTTTTTGCCAAGTGGCCTCGCAGACTCGACTGAGCAGGAGGACGTGATTGAACCAGTTGACTTCCAAAAGCTCCCATGAAGCCTGAAGCCGTTTCGACTGGCTCACCTTCAAACAAGACTGGAGGACGGTGACTGTACCATCCTCGTGCACGCACCAGGCCGCGCGATAAGGAGTTCCTTCTGCGCCACAGTTAGGCAACTGCAGGTTCTTTCCCTTCGCCCAGCCCGGCTACCTTTCCAAGCCTTCCAGGAAGATCATGAAACCCTCCTGGACGCCCACTGTCCTCCCAAGCTTTAGCCCAACTTTGGACTAACCTAAAATTAACAAAACAAGCTTTGGGCTCATTCGGAGCCGTGGGGACGGCGCTCAATACCATGAGCTCCTCTGCTAGGAGTTCGCCATCCCCTGCTTCAGCGCCTTCTGGTTCAAGCGCCTCCCGCGCAGCAGCAGCTGCCCGGAAATCATCACTTGCCTCCTTTTCAATGCAAGTGGTGCAGCGCCCAAACACATAAGCCCGCTTGCCACATGAGCACCTTCCATCGTGCTCCCAGACGTCCCTGCCTGGCTCCACAGCCAAGTTCATCAGAGGCGCCTCCGAAATGTCCTTGAGGACTCCAAGCCCGAGGATATCGCAAACTTGCCGCGAACTCTCCTCCTTTGGCGAGCGGGTCACCACCCCGAAACCCTTGGTCGGCTCTTCAGGAAAGACTCGACTGACCTCAGGGCAGGCCGCTTTCAGCAAGTCGCCCCCAGCTTGCGTCCTCCAAAGGCGCGGATTAACGCGCCAAATGGACTTCACCCCTGACCATCCGGACACAACTTCCCGGATCTCCTTCCTCTGCAGATTACGCGCCTGCAGGGTGACCTCCACGACAAGCGGAAGTCTGAGCAGCCCAAGCACGACTGCTCCCTGTCCTACTCCAACCGCGAAATCAGGAAGGTACGAACCCATGGCTCGAAGCGCTTTGGCGCAAGCAGTGAGGAGGTCGACCCTCAACCTCTTCACTTGCCTTTCCCCTTTCAAGTTGGCAGCGGCACCGTCCAAGTGAGACGTGTTACCTACGTCATCTTCGAACGGGCCTTCTGATGCTCTCACTGCGATTTCCCAACCGGGCATCGCCTGGGCCAAAGTGCTCCTGAGCCGGACAATTTCTGAAGCATTCTCCATGTGCTTCGTATAGTCACCTAGAAAAAGGACCTTGAGCTGCCTGGTCGCTGTTGCTCCCGCGTAGAGTCTCGAAACGAGGACTCCACCACAGGGATCAGCGCCGTCCACTAGGCTAGCGCCCCCTGGCACTACATCATTACGGATAGCCCACGCCACCGGAATATCAGGATCCTCAGTGTCCCCACCGAGGTAGGCTTCCAAGTCAAATCCCTTCAATTGACCAGCCATTCCCTGCAAATCCTTGGTCCGATTTTCGAGCAGCTCATCCCTATCTCGAGGGTTTCGCGAAAACCCATCCCCGAGCTTAGCGCTCCGGCCGCTCAGTGACCTAATTTCGGACCCATCTGCAAGGATTTCAGCCACCCATCTGACTAGCTTCACGTCCGCCCCCACATCGATGTGTTGGGCCTTTGTCAGATTCGCGTGATCTGTCCAACATAAGGTTCGAATCGTTCCAAATGTTTTCCTTGTGGCTCTTTTCATCTCCAATTGAGCGAAGGCCTCCTGAACTAGAGGCGGCCAAGCTTGCTGCGGCGGCGTGAGGCTTTTGCTGTGCGTGAGGAGCACCTTCAGCCTCGTGTGGTCTCTGGTCATCTGGACCACGGTACCACCGACCGCAAACCCGCTGGCATCGGCCACCTGCTCAAGCGGACAGGCTCCGGAGATGGCGCTGGCCTCGTCAATCATAGCTAAGCTGATTGACTTAGCCAACATGCGCTTGATGGCCCGAACAGCCTTGCAGCCTTCTGTGCTGCCATGTCCGAGCCCTTCAGGTGGGAAGGTCGCGTCTGGCCGTTGGTAGCCAGTCAAAATTTTGGAACAAACACCGTACTCCGCGGGGAGGTACATGCGCAACCAATTGGAGCATCCAAGAAATTGCTGGATATGGAGTTTCTCTCTGAGCGGTGCAAAGTCCATTACGGCCTTGGCTCGCTCAGGGTCTGGTTCGCTTCCATTCCTCCCAACGATGTGTCCCAGCAGCTTGCCACCTTCCTTGCAGATCTCCGCCTTAGCCACCCCGTAGCTGAAACCAAAAACGATCGACTTGTCCAAAAATGCTTCAAGCGAAATCAGGTGATCCAGGAGGAATTGGTTGGCCTTGGGAAAACGCTTCTCCAGAGACCTCCTGAGCGCATCGTAGTAGCGCTCCGTTGGCGTTTCCTCTGCCATCTTGTCGATTCCGCCTGGCGCCTCCACTATGTGAAACACTGGCTCGGTCATGGTGCTCCTCCAAGAGCCTTCAGAACCATGACCCACCGCGTAGAAACGGGTTTCTCCTACCCATGGGCGTCCCTTAAAGACCCACGGGTCGCCCTCACGCCACGAGTCTTCCCAAAAGAGAGACTCTCCATCCAAAAACTGACCTGTCGTGACCCTTCGAGAATCCAGCTGGTCGACATTCAGCGTGAGTGGGGCCGACGCTTCTTCACTAAACTCAAACAGCTTCTCCCGAGCCTCCGGGTGCGTTCGCACCCAACCACCGGGGAAGGTGACCCACACTTCCTCGCGACGAGGATTCGAAAACGAAGTCCTCGCCCGCGATTCTTCGCGACGAAGGCTCGAAAACGAGGCCCCCGCCCGCGACCAGCTCTTTGACTCATATTGCGACGGGTCAAATGCGTACGCCGCAGTGAGCGCAGCTAGACCAACCGCGAACGTGGCAAACACTCCATATCCCTTCCTTGACTCACGCGCCTTCCTAGGTGTCTTCGCGCGACACTTGCACCCCTGGAGTGGAGTGCTCTTGATCTCTCCCTTCCGACCGCACGAATAGCAGACTGAACCAATGAGGCTGGGCTGTTCCAATCCGCATTCCTGGCAGGTGTCCGGCTCAAGGCCAGCCGTCTGGCTCACGAAAACTGTATCAACAGCTCCGCAAGAACATGTCCCACTGACTACTGCACCTGCCCGGAGCTCTCCGACTGGATCGCCTTCTTCAAGGACGACCTCTTCCTGGTATGGCGTCACCAGGACCATGCCTTCACGAGCCCCTGTGTCCCAGATGCCAGGAACTGCTTCCACCTTGCCGGCAACTGGAAGGACCACTTCACAGCTCGAAACTTCCGGCGTCCAGTTGCCAGCAATTCGCACCGGAAGGAGAGCGCCTTCCCCAGGAAGCAGCGTCGCCCCTTCCTCACCTGCATAGACTACCATGGCCCTTGGCCCGGTCTCCGGCTCCAGATGTCCCTCAGCCTCCTGGTCTACTGCCGAAAGGACGGACCGGAAAGGATAGGCTCTGTCCTTCCTCTCCGCACTGAAGTTCTCACAGCGCGGGAGATGCACACCTAGAGAGTCCAGCACATGGGTCATGGGCCCAGGTCGAAAACCTAGCCCACGTCGCGCTTCGCAATCCAACGCGCGGCCCCCAAGGATCAACCCATGGAAATCGCTAGTCCCCTTTGACGCGATCTTGCACCTCACGAACAGCTCATGTCCCGGCTTCGCCCGATCGGTTGTCCCCTTCAAGAAGACGGACGCGGAGAACCACGCCACCCTTGAGCGGCACGAGTGAGCCGCTCGCAATCCCATGCATGCACGTACTCTGGATACAGCCATTTTTCGAACTGAATGATCGGAAAGTTCTTGTCATTCGGGCGCAAGCCTAGCTCCGCAGCCCGATTGATGATCCCGACCACCAGCTCTTCCGTGATGTGATTGGACCCAGCGCATCCGTCCAACATCGTGTCAAAATTCTTATCAAGGATTTGCACGACGGTGCGGTATTGATAACCGCCAGGCTCATTCGGCACGACATGCCACCAATCCTTTGGGAGCTCGTCCAACTCGGTGAAGGGTCCCGTCTTTGGAACTCCAGGGGATGAACTCCGCGGCGCGGACGCGAACACGACGTCCGCACCCGCAGGTTGAGCCTGCTCTAAACCACCCGTCACCACACAGAACGCGGCGAACGGATTGAGCACGCTGTTCCCGCCATGTCACAGTCAGCGCCTTTCTTGCACGCGCCGTTCTTGGCAAAGTAAGGGCACTGCTTCTCGCTCTTCTTTTTCTTAGCGTCTCCAGCCTTGCCCTTCCCTCCTTTGCCTTTCCCTTTAGCTCCTTTTCCGTCGCCTTTCGCTGGATAGGAGTCAGACCCTTTCCCCTTGCCTTTCTTTTCAAGCTCCTTCCTACGCAGCTCTTTGTCGTGCGAGAAAGGACAATCGCGACCCTTTCTGCAGCTCCCGTGATCACGATAATCCCAGCAGAGTTTGTCCTTGCGGGGATCTCCAGACGTGATCGCCACCTGATCGCCTCTGCCCTTTCCCTTGTTCGCCTCCTTGTTGGCCTTGTCCCGCTTCGCCTTCTCTGCTTTCTCCTTCTGTCTTTGAACACTATATGGTCTGGCTTTATAAGTGCCTGCTTTAAGTGAAAATGGAAAATGTTAGCGCTAAATAAAACTGTGAAAAACTATATGTTTCCTTACCTGCAAAACATGTTCCACAAAGCTATTGAACATTGATATGGGTTGATGAACCCATGGGGGTTTGCTTGTTTTGTGGATGTGGGTGGGGCAAAACCATTGATAAATTGTGGCCATTGTGTGTGACTTTCCTGTATAGGCCACCACTGGGAAAGTACATGCCCAAGCCACCTTTTGAACTGGTGTGGGTTTTGTGTGGCTACCACTGACTGGGGGGTACATGAAGAATAGTAGTAGAGGGTACCCCAGCACTTTCCCACCCACACAATACAAAGACTGATGAGCCCAACATTGTTGAATGTGGAGTTTGTTTGTCAGTCCCCAAAGAGGTGGGTGCAGGAAACCAAGAGGACATTCAAGGTGTGAAAACCTCAGCAGCTTTTGGGTCCAAGCCTGCCTGGCCTTTTCAGGCCCAGGCTCATGGGAAAGGCAAAAAGATATGGTGTGCCAGGCAGAAGAAGCCTGCCTGTAGATTATAGACACCCAGTGTCTCAGCCTGTTCAAAGCAGAGTTCCCCAATGGGCCTTCCAATCTGGCCCACAGAATGATTTTTTCCAGCCACTTGGCTTTGCATGGTAGTGAAGGTGAGTTGGTATGTAACCAAGATGCTTTACATGAGACATTCAATGGCAGATTGGATGGCACAGTTTGTCCATATGTGTTTGTGGTTATTTTTGCCAGTTGGTGTATTTTTGCAATTGCCTTCTGAGGAGGGGGGGTGCACCTGGACCTGAATCAATTCCTCCTGGCTCTTCATCACATGGCCAGATGATGGGTGGTGCACCACACTATGAGCACACTGAATGGGGTGATGATGATGAGGAGGAGGACCTGTCTTCTTCTAGCTCTTCAGGGATATTTGGCTTTCATGTTAGTGCTTGGTTAGGTGCATGTCTTGGTAAGCAGTCAATTGTTCAAGGGTGCTTTAGACAGTACAGTGTTGGTCTAACTAAGGAAGAAAAGGAAGAAGAAAGACAAGAAAAAAAAAGACAAAAAGAGACATAAGAAGAGAAAGCGCTCCTTGTTTAGCAGCTAGTGGTCCATTTGTTTTTGGTCATGAAGGCCAGGGGCATTAGGTGCACTTTTCCTTGGGCCCAGGCTCTTCATCCAGTGGTGGTGGTGACAATGATGATGATGATGCAGGCCTCACAGAGGAACAAAAGGATTCAAAGACCTTGGCACAGCACCAAGGCTGCATGCAGTGTAGGCTTCAAGATGGTTCATGCTACATGTGGGTGTGTTGTTGTTGTGCTGTGGCCCAACCCTGTACAGCAATTACTCATTACACAAGTGGAGTGGAACCAAGGCATTGGACATACTTGGGGCCAGATTTTGCAGCAGATGAAGTTGGAGCCACCACCAAGAAACCCAGGAAGAAGCTTGGGCCGGTGACCATTGTGTGATAGCTGGCACATGGGTTGAATGCCATGGCATGGCAGCAGAACTGTAGAATGTTTGCAAGAGGTTTCTTTCTTGCCACAGCCTAGGAACTGTTTGCCAAGAGCAGAGAAAATGAGACAGCTCCAGAGGCTGGACCCAGAGCGCTTCCACACCAGCTACTTGGAGTCAACCATGGAGACTATGAATGCTTTGTGAATGCATTGGGCACTGAATGCATTGTGGCTGAACAGTTTGCAGCTTGGGTGTGAATGAGGCCTCACCTCTGGGCTGCCAGATCTACATCTGGAACAGCTGAGCTACATTTGCTCTGGGTTGGGGCCCAGGACTAAAGTCAAGGAGCTTGTGGGTTGCAGAACTCGTGGTGACCTGCAACTTGGAATGATTTAATTGGCATTTGGGTGCTGCTTGCTTGTTCACTTGCTCACTGCTGTGGCAATTTGGTGCTTGTTCACTTGTTAGTTCATGTATTCACTTCTGTGTTGGTGTGAAACTCTCAGGCTCCACTGCCTGAAGGAGAGCTACCAGAGGAGATTGAAGATGAGTGAAGGCAACCTGCTGTCAAGCCTGGAGGCACCTTGCCCACAGTGTCATAGTCATAGTTCAAATGCTGCACCTAAAGTTTAAGTATTCACATGCCTGGCCCTTGTTTGTATACCTGCTCTTTCTTGCCATAGCCCCTGCCCTAGGCCAATTTTGAGAATGTGGAGATTGTGGCAAGCAACATGGGGTGGAAGAAGGTTTTGGACAAAGAGAAGAATAGGAAGAGCAGGGGTGGTGTTCAAGACCAGCCAAAGATGGACCACACCCAGAAGCCTCCTTATACCTCAAAGAAGTTGCAGCTTGATGGATCAGTATATAAATGAAGGAATGCTGGTTGTAGGATTGCCATTGTTGGAAGCTAGTCTTGGAGTAGTGGGGGGTTGAGAGATCATTCAGGCAAGATGGATCGCTGATTGTGGAGAATGCAGCAGGGGAGAGCAACAAGGTGTCCATATGTGGGGTCCCTGTGTGCATGGTCTACAGAGATGGGAAGTACATGCTGAAGATCCCACAAACAGCTCAAAGCTGTGAGTGCCCTGTTTGAAAGTAGCTGTTGTGCTGAATGAAGCAATGGTCTCATCAAAGTAGATAGTGGGTATGTGACTTGCCTTGGCTAAGGGTCATCATGAGCCTGGATCAGCTGTTCACCTCACCTACAGGAGTGCATGACTGGTTTGGGAAGGTTGCACTTTAGTGGCAATGATGCAATTGAATTTGCACATGTTGGGTGCCCAGTCAGTGACCCCCATGCTCAATTAGGCAGAGAATTGCTTGGTGAACAAAGACCAGAGATGGGCAGTGTCCTACATTGAGACATGCAAAGGCACAATCCTTTTATGCATTGGAAGTGTTGCCCATTGTTTGTTGTGCATTGTTAGCTGTACATTGTTGGTTGTGTGGTTTGAATGCCCAGAGTGCAGGCATGGAGGATGGACATTGGATGAGGGAGCAGGTGGAAAACCTGCTGCTGCAGATGCCAACCAAGCAGACTGTGGATAAGTTCTTTGGGGGACAGGGTTCAACAATTGAGTAAACTGCCTGCAACAAAACAGAATTGTTTGTGCGTGGGTGAAATGGTGTGATTTGTTTGTTGGAGGGCCTGGAAGTAGCACTACAGCAGGGTCAACAAATGAGTAAATGAGTAAACTGTTCATGCAAAGCACAATTGCTTGTGTGTTAAGTTGGTGTGCTTTGTTTGTTGGGGGGCCTGGAAGTAGCACTACAGCAGGGTCAACAATTGAGTAAACTGTAAACTGTTCATGCAAAGCACAATTGTGTGTGTGCTTTGTTTGTTGGAGGACCTGGAAGTAGCACTACAGCAGGGGTGGATGGGGCCTCATTGTCCAGCAGGTCAGATCAAGAGGCTTGGTGGAATTTGGGCAGGAGCCAAGGGGATGTGTGAGCAAGCTATAAGTTTGGTTTGCTTGTGTTGGTGCATGCTTGTTGCAGGTGGAGATGAAGAGGCAAAGGTTTGTGGTGCCAGGACTCTTTCAATAGTGGTGCATGCAATGTGTCAAGCTAGAGTGATGGGGTGGGTTGGTGTGCAAGCAGGAGTGAACATGATGCCAGACAGCAGGGAGCATAGGATTGACCAGTATTTCCAGCCAAGGGGGGAGGGCTGACCACACACATCCAAAGGGAAGTGGGCTGCACATACAGCCACAGCAGCAACAGCACCAACCAAAGCAATGCAACAACATGCTCTCAGAAGCTGTAGACCTTATAAGGAGGCATCCTTTGTTCAACCAGTTTGAGCAGGAAACTGCACAACATAGAGCCTGGGCCTTTGGTGATGCCACCAGAGGGAGCCTGATGAAAGATGTGCTTGACTTTGACCAGTTCCTCAAGGCACACAACCAGCAACCACCATTTGACCTACTTGCCATTTGCTTGGCTGCAGAGAGGAGCAATGTGAGCACCACACATATGATGGCACAGGGACAACAGGAGGAGCAGCCATGGGTGGCAGGACAGCAAGGGGGGGCAAGGGCAAAGCAGGCAACAGCCAGGGCAAGGGCAGCAACAGGAGGCATGGCTGGGGGGGGCTTCAAGGAGCATGGGGACAGAAGCCACAAGGGCAACAGCAGCAGCTGCAGCTAGTAGGGCAACTTCAACAGCCAGGCCAACATCAGCTGTCAGTGCCACAGACCCAAAACCAAACACAACAATGGCAAGGGGTTCAGCACTACCAGCCCCAAGGACAACAAGGGCAGCAGCAGCAACAGCAGCCATTGGCACAAGGGCAAGGGCAACAGCAGCAGCCTGTGCCACAGATCCAAAGCCAACCACAACAATGGCAAGGGAGTCAGCACTACCAGCCCCAAGGACAACAAGGGCAGCAGCAGCCATTGATGCAAGGGCAAGGGCAACAGCAGCAGCCAATGCAACATACCCAAGACCAGGCACAACAATGGCAGGGGAGTCAGGGCCACGAAGCCCAAGGGCCACCAAAGCAGCAGCAGCCACTATTCCCAGAGAGGCAAGCACAAGGCCTACAGTTGCCATGGCAAGGGCAACAACAGCAGCTCCCATCACCAGGCCAACCACAAGGCCTACAGCAACAAAGGCAGGGGCAAGGGCAGCTGGGGCAAGGGCAAGGGCAACAACAGCAGCTACCAACCCCAGGCCAAGCACAAGGCCTACAGCAACAAGGACAGGGACAAGGGCACC